TTTTTGTGGGCACAGAGACTAGCCTACAGTATCAAACTTGTATCTCCTCTTTACCCTAATGCCAATTTTACAAACCTCAAAAAAATGAGAAAAAAAGAAATTAATCTGACATATAAAAGTTGCACATATGTTTCTAATACATGCAGATACTTCTTCTTACACTATCCTAGACTTACACCTCTACAGTCATTCAGATCTGTTTTTAATCTGTCTCAATTCTAAACTAACCTGAAAAGGAAAGAGTAGAGCAGCAAGACAGTGGTGAGCAGCACCTCCACCACCTGCATAAAGAGGACTGCTCACCTCCCACATATACAGGTGGATGACCTCTCCAGTGAACTGAAAGAACGCAGCACACCTACTTTCAAAGTAGAATCCGTTCATAACGAAAAGGTGTCTAGATTGGAACTGCAGGATAGATTGAAAATTTCAGAAAGCTAAAAATTCTTTGTCTAGTCCAAATCATCCCATGTGTGGTTAAAATACTGCCTAGAAGTGAAATTTTGCACAACATAAGAATTAGGAATTATTCTAGGAATGCTGTTATTTCAGGAGGTAAGTATCATCTCCGCTTACGTGCTACTTTTTTCCCAACTTGGAAATTAAACCTGAGACAATTTTAGTACAGAGGTAATATAAAAGAGGATCTTTATTTGAAGGCTTTCAGGGACAGTTATGGAAAGATGTCCACAAAAGCCCACCTCCACACAGATGAGTACACATTTATAGGCTTAAGGAAATTAGCATAATCTACAAAAAACACCAATTACAAGGACAAGTGGTGATTCAGTTTACCCCCCAGGTCAAGCCTCTTCTCTGGAGTACCCGCCTCAGCACTAGCTGTACTTTGTCCATGAAAATGTATCTCAAAGAGTTGTTGTGGGCCTTGGTTCCCAGGAAGAACCAAGATAGCACAGGGGCCTTGTACCCTCTGGGGCTTGGAGCTCTTGGAGCTTTGTCTTTCTGTCTAGGGAAAGGCCATGGAAAACCAGCTGCAAATACAATAGGCTACAGAGCTACAAATACATATGCAAAGAATACAAAAAACATATAAAAGGAAAAAAAGGTAAAACCCAAAATAGCATCATATGGGGCACCCTAAAATCTTCAATCCAGTATCCTTTCCCAAAAAGTTTATCAATAGTTTCATCAAAACATCCTCTAGAAAACTTCTTTCCAATAAAATTCCATTTTAAGTTTACTAAACTGCCCTAGAAGTCTGCTTGTAAGAGTTCATTAACTGTCACTGGATTTAATCTTACTGCTAGTTCATGACAGAGGTGGCGTATACCTCACTATTCTTACAAATGTGAGGACCTGAAATTAGGCAATCTTTAAAATTGCTATAATTCTATCAAACATCAGAATCTCTTTTATTTATCATTAATTGGAAATTTTTCAACTATTTCAAAATGTGCAAAAAGTTAATTCTGACACAGTATGAGTAGTTGCAGTTCTATGTAAAACACCAAGCCTATATTTGGTCTAACAAAAGTCATCTTAAGCATGAGGTAGAGTCACTCACAGGTTTACAGTCAATATGGTAGGAACAGAGTTTATTCAATGTCTTAAAGAGGTTCACATTGTTCTGTCTGCTAGTATTAAAAGAACCATAAATGTATACTAGAAATTTAATTCTTTATCCCACATCCATTAAATGTCTCAAAGGACTCCAGGCCACCTCCTCACACATGTAAGTAAAAGCTGAAGAATAAAAAGCAAGGACTGATTTTATCTCAAGGTTATAGAAACATCATTAAACCATAAAACCACGCTGTAAAAAAATTATCTTGACATTAGAAAATGTCTCAGTGGAGTTAAAGCCTTACCACATAATTAGCTGCAGATAATTCTGTTTAATACTGAGGATCAGAATTTTAAAACAGTCACAACCTTGATAAATGGCACGCTAAATAAACTGAAGCTTGCAAAAAGTGATCAGATAACAAAAATGAGAAAATTCAACTCCAGCTCAAAGGACAGTTGATACAAAAGCAAATTGTTTAGTAAGGACAGGGCAACACTGTCAGAAAGAAAGGTACATAACCCTTCTGAAACACCTCCCCATCCAGTACAGCTGGTATTTTCCACATATCTTGTGCAATCTAAAAAGACATTGGGGTGAAATTCTGCCCCCATGGAAAGAAATGGCAATATTTTCTTTGATTTTCAATGGACAGTTTCTACAAATACACACTCGGGGGGATTCTCTGACTATTAGGCATCACAAGCAAGTGAATAGAACTATAATTAATTTTCACAGACAAGAACAGGGGACAGCAGAGAAGGAGGACTCTTTAAAAGAGCTTCCGAGAAGCTCTTTTGACCTAAATCAGGTTGGAGATTTTCCAAGAACCATCTGGTATTTAGTCACCTCACCGCAGGATAATTTTTCTCTTTTGTCTGGCAGTCTGTTTATTTTCCTTCTTGAGGATCCAGCATCAAACAGAATAAAAAATGACCTTTGACTGGATCTTTTTGTGGCATGCAATGAAAGAACTGATCCAAAAAAGTTCAATGTTCGAATAAGCACCTACTGAACTTGAAAGGAATGTTGGAAACAGTTGGGAAAACAAGATTACATCTTGAAGTTATGTATCTGTAGCATTTCTTTATTCTATGACCACACAGGGAAGTCATCACAGCTGGTCTTCTTTAGAGTTAAACCACAGAGAAGTGACTGCAGAAGTCTTACTGGAGACTTTACAGTTCCAAAGTCTTAAATTTAACCTGCTGAGAATAAGCATCCCTATACAGTGTTAAAAAAAACAACTTTGTGTGGACAGCCAGCTCATCTTCCAAAGAACATTCCATGTTCCATGGGAATGGCAGAACACATCTGCTACTACTTCCTTAGGAATGGGGGAATACTAAATTAATATTTTAATACAATATCACACTTGTAATTCGTCAAACTTGGCAAACTCATTTGACAACCAAATTGGGAAAGTCATAAAATGCCACATGGAAAATTAGAGGATGACAACAAGGTCTTACAAAAAGCTTGACAGTTGTGCCTGACTGAACTCTGAACAAGATACTAATTTTACTCATATAGAGCACATGGCAGTTGACTGCTATTTTCTCCCAGCCACTCACCTGTCCAGTCAGATTCTTCTATCCCTTCTGCCAGTTCTTGTTAGTATTAATGATACCAAGTATTTGTACACATGACAGGTCTATGTAATTTGCTCTCCATTTTCCCAGAGCAGACTGTCACACAGATTAAACAAAACCAGCAAAAGAAATGAGCCCTAGTCTAATGGACAAAAAAATCCCAAACCAAAAACAACTCAAAAACTCAGCACTTTGCACTACATTTAATAGGGTGGGGAAAAATTCACAGACAACATACAGAATACATTGAGTTAAAAATATCTTTGTGATACCAAAGCTACAGTGGGGCAAATGTTATCATTAACAGGAGCATTCCCAATTCTCCAGTTAACAAGATATGGAGCTGGGAAGTCTTGGCTTTTACTCTGCTCTTGATGGCCACTTACATCACCTTGGTAAACTACACAGGAGGGGAGAGGAGGTGCACATTTGTGCACATGCTTGTTCATGTGTATACATAAAAAAATAAACTTTCTGCATTTTCTTCACCAGTGTTCCAATGTGTAAAGTGATCATCACACTGTTTCTGTAAAGCCCCCTGGCCATTCTCCACCTTAAGCTTATTAATACATAGAAGGCAACAACATTTGGAAGGAATTTCTTACAAGCTGCAACTCAGCTCAAACTGATCATCTGAAAATCAGTTTTATCTTCAGCTGCACAAATTCTCTATACCAGATAACACAATGTGCATGTTTCATGTGAAATGCATCCGACAAAGTTCAGGCCAAACCAGCAAGCCAACACAAGACAATAAAACAACTTGAGTGGAGACAACAAAGTACTTAAGGGGCTTCATCTATGCACCCTTTTGACTGGGTCTATTTCAGACTGTGAGATTTTTCAGGTAAAATTGTAACTTTACATCATAGCAGTCTAATCACCAGTAAAAATAATAATAAAAAGAAAAAAAAAGAAAAAAAAAAAACCAGAGTCAATTATATTGCTCCTACTCATGTCCACAGCAAAAAATAAGAAGGTTCTGTAACTGTACAAACAGATCTCTATTAAATTTAAAAAAAAAAAAAATTATAGCATTTTTAATTCCTGCCAAAAAGACTCACTCTTTAATTTATATCAGAAGTAAAAAGGTGTTAGACTTCGGCTTACTTCATAAGAATACACTTACTAAAACAACCAAAACATAAATAAGTTAAATTCTGCCATAACATTTACCTTATCAATCAATTAGAAATCAAAAAAATTAAATGGAGTTAAAACTATGAGTACTCTTCATATCAAATATTTCTGTTAGCATTGTTTGAATTTAGCATCCTGAATCAAAAGTAATAAAATATCTACACCAAAAGCCAACAATATTTAGTTAGTAACACAATAAACAACATACTGTGGAATCTAATTTTAAGTACTTTATATGTAGTCTTCTAGAATAAATTATCCACAAGGCCTCTGGAAAAAGAAGCTTGTAGGATACAGTACTATCACAAACATTAGCATATACCTTTAAATGACAAAATGGGATGGGAGTATATCTTCAAATATATTTCACTTTGCAGAAAAATTCTAGGCTGAAGGGTGATGGTATATGCTCTTTATTACTGTGAAAAAATTACTCAGGTTGATTGACTTGATTATATTTGAATTTTCTTGCTTTTTTTCTCACCCAACAACTTCAACACAATAATTTTAAAAAGGAAAAAGAAAAAAATTATCCTCTGGCTAGTGCTTTAATTTTGAAGTGCTGCAATTATATTAAAGTTATACTACTTCTGCTTAAATACTGACTAAATAAAAAAGTTTGAACTCACTTTGTCATATATCACATTCTGAATGTATCTACTGAACTCCCACTCAGAAATAAATCGTGAACACGAGGAAAAGATAATTTATGAGTTGTCAAGCAACTAGATTTTAACACTTACTTTTGTGAAGATCTGAAAAAAGTCAATTGCAGGTGGCAATTGAGACTCATCCTGGATCTCAGTTTTCAAATACAGTTGCAAAGTCTGCGCAAGGTGCCTGAGGCCATCTTTCATTTCTTCACTTAACTGTTCAGTGTCTTATGGGGAAAGAGGAAAAAAAGTAGAACATGTCATAAACAGAACATTTCACCAACATTTTTAAAACATCCAATGGCAGCCATATAGTCTAGACATTTCCAGACCAGGAATTAATCTTGACAGAGGGCAGTTTTGACAGAGAGCAGACATTTCTCATTTTTTGTGACAGTTACCTATCAACACACAGAGGAGTTTATCAGGTTGCTACTGCCAAATCATATGAATACAACAGCAAGTTAAAGATCAAAGGCCGATAGGTAAAGCAGATGTGAAAGCAGATGTCAGACATTACATACAAAAATTAAGCATCTGGGTTTGTAACATTAACCACATTAGAAATATGCTTGGAACTTTATGCAGCAGTGCATACTTTTATACTGTATTCTCCATAAATGTATAAGAAACACTTTATGCTGGCAGATGAAACAGAAAAGTATTTATGAACAAAAGGAGTTTCATACAGAGCAACTGGCAAACAATGAATATGAAAGAATATGAAGTAAGTATCACTTTATTATAAAGCACCACTATTCATGTTCAGCAGCTAGAAATCCTGAAGCAGAAAGAATCACAGTGCCTCATTTTCTAATTAAGTGATTATGGATGCATCAGGTCTCTGGTAACATAGAAAGTGAAACTGCTGCTGCCCAAGCAAGTTCACTGCCTGACTACCTGATTCACACTTTCCTTTTCCTACCACTTAGTACAAAAGGGAGAATGTGAAGCTGAACATATTCAAGCACCAGCCTATAACAAAAGGCAGAGACTTATGATGCGCTATGAATCAATTTTATCTCTGCATAACGGTGAATTGCTATTTTACTATAAACATCTGCAGATGCTCAGAGCACTACCCAAGTGCAATTAACACTGTGGATGTTTGTAAGTGATTTTGCAAGCATGAATGAATGCAAATGTTAGAAATCCAGACATGTATGTTTTTCACAATGTACATAAAATCTCTGGTATAGAAAAGTATAATATCTATGAGGACTGTGTCTTCAAAGAAGCAGCAAACTTTTAGATGACTAAAACAATCAAGTTTAAAAAATATAAAACTATAAACACACACTTGCATTTCTTATATAATATTCCTCTGAAAACAAAAATGCTTTTTCCTTCAAATGTAATTATTCAAGATAGCATGTGATTTCCCTTAAACTATCTATACACTGCAAAATGTGTTATAACATAGAGAGAAAGGTATGGTTTGTTTCATTATTGGCAAATAAAACAACCCTAGACTAAAGATAAATCATATAAGAAGCATGCTACAAATGGACACTGTAGCTTAGGACAGATGTGAACATGAATACTAAAACCAGCTGGAACTTCAGGGAGAACTGATAGAGATGGAAGCAGAATGCAATTATCCACACTGGAATTTTTCCAGGACATCAGAGCTAATGATCCAAAAAAAAAAAAAATAAAAAATTCCATGGGAATTTTAATGGAAAATTATCAAGACCTGGTTTTCTGAGCACATAAGAAAACAAAGCCAAAAGCAAAATGAAATTTGTGAATTTTTTAATTTTTTGTTTTTAAGAAACTTTTTTCAATTGTTTAAGAAACGTGGTGAGAGACAAAATGCTATAAAAGGTCTATGAAAAATATTTTAAATAAGGCATGGGGATTTGATTATGTAACTCTGATACTTATACAAGTAAAGACGAAAAAAATATCTGCCCCAAAATACAGCAGACAAACTATTTTCTGAATACTGAGTCTTGGCAAGTAAAAACAAAGATGATTTCTAAATTACTGTAACATATAGAGACCCCAGAGAACTAAGGAAGGAAGGAATTGTCTAGAGATAAATGAGAACTAGCAAAAGTGACAATGCTCAGAGAGACTCCTCCTACTTATTCTGAGTTTCAGGGCATCTAAAGGAATTTCAAGGAACTATGGAGATTGGGAAAAAATTTCATAGGGGGCTGGATGCCTCCACATGCTTAGTGGTTTTTCATGTTTTATATGTTTTAGCAGATAATTATTCAATAGTGTAGAAAACTTTATATGCTTCTATTCATTTGTATGTCTCCCATACTAAAAATCAACCAACAGTATAAAGTAATGCTGAAAAGTAACAGTGTAAAGCAAAATGAGACAGCATAGTGTCAATAACTATTTTCAAAAGTAAAATATTTTGGAATTACAAGTATGGGGGGAAAAAAACCAAAAAAAGATAGAAAGAGTATCAATGAGAATTCTGTCACATTTGTGATTAGTGTTGAAACATTATCTTCTTATTATAACTTATTATATATTATAACTTATTATATAATGTATCTTCTGTATACTTATTATATTAATGAAAATGTATTTCTGACTTTCCTATAGATCCCACTAAGTACACAAAGAGACAAAAAGTTTATCAATCAATACCACTCATAAATTGTGCAGCAACTGGGGAAATTGCTATGAAATAACAGGAGCTTTTGGAGCATACAGAGGCAGCAAAAAACATCACAGCTACTACCAGCTCTCACACCAACCCAAAACACTTTTGGATTATTTTAACTCCACAACCATAGGGACCATCTATTCACTCTAACAAGGATGCCGGGAAAACAACACAAGTAAAGAGTTAGATAAAACCTTTACATAAGATTATGCATAGGCCATTTGTACTGTAGTCTGAAGCATCAACTTCAGTTAATGTGTTATGTCCTAAACACTTGGTGCTGTGGAGTTAAGATTCCACAGGAATTGTTATTAAGACTCAGAGTAAGTACAGATGAAACACTACCTGTGGATCTCTCATTTGTCTTCTCCTAAACTAACTGGCTATGTACCAGTTGTTTCTGTATGAGTGAAAGGAAAGTCATCCCATCTATATCACAGGCCATATCACCATTTCCTTCAGAACGAGAATTTTAGCCGAAGCTTCTGGCCCCTCTACAGACTTTTGGACCATTTATCCATTGCAGATCAGGCCTGTTCAACACCAAGCTTCTCTCCAGACAACTTATCACAGTCCCCTTGTCTCCAGTCAAGTCAAGGAAAGCTGAGATCATCTCCTGAAGGGTACTGAGAAACCCTAGTTTGTATGGAACGATCAGTTACAGAAAAATCTTTGTCTACGCTAGAGACAACTGCTATACAAGTGATCCATATTTAATTTTTAGAGGGAGACTCTTCTGTTGAGTTCCTCCTGTGCCACTCTGCAATCTGCCATTGGTACAATAAAGACTCTTTCCTTGGATCCCAGCAGTGTAACGAAGCATAAAAGTCCATAGTCTACATCATTTTAACTTAATTTGAAGCACCTGTTTTCCATAAACCTTTGTTACATGAATTAAGAATATCCATTGCAGAAAATCACCATGTTTTAAATAGCTGAAATCTATTTTAATTTGCTGCCTTATCGAGGTCTTTTGCCCTTGCAGTTTGGGAGAAGGCAGAAGAATGTCAGGGTGTTCAGAAGTAAAATTAATGCTATGTATTGCATTTTTTATGTTTATATGGGTTTTATTTCTAACTAACTACACCAATTGATCAAGGTGGTTTGTAGCAAAAACTCCGAATATTAAAAAAAACTAAAGTAATCAAAGTATTCACATTACCCTCCACAAAATCCCTCTAAATAAGTTGCAAAAATGAACCAAGGATGTATGTCTTCTTTTCTAACTCTTCAAGATGCCACAAAATATGAAAAAAATGTTTCCTATTTCAACATTTTCTCTACTGAGAGATTTTAATGAGCATCATTTTCTATCCAAGCAGCTGAAACTTGTGAAGGCACAAAGTAATAACTGCACTGTTTCATCTTTTTTCTCTATTGAAAGGTCATGTATATGAAAAATATACATACATTCATTTTAACTTTCCTATTTCTGGATGTTATTTTGAAGCTTTATGCAATAGCACATAGGTCTTAAAAAGTAAAACCTCAATGTAAAAATATATGTACTATTGTATATATATGTAGAAATATTGACACTGTATGTAGTAAGACAGTCACTGGGTAAATTGACAAATGAGAAGGCAAGATGTTCATTGTAAAATGAGAAAATAAAAACACTAAAGCAAAAAAAAAACAGATGAAGGTTTTGCTTCAAGACAACAGACATGTTTTTGTTTTTATCTTTGAAATAACTGTTCCTTCCCACAGAGGTTTTTGTCTTTGATTCTGTCACTCTACAGAGCAAACATTCAGAAGGCAAGCTGCAGGAAAATCAGATGGCCCTTTCATAAAGCAGACCTTGGAAGTATTTTCTGAATTCTGGCTGGCAATTACTTACTTGACTGAAGATCATAAAAAGAGTAGAGTCTCTCAGAAGGGCATACTGATTGTCTGAGCTGTAGAGGAAAAATATAATTAACACTTACATAGCATGTTTTATCTTGAAAACACTCTACAAGACAGATGATTCCATGTAAGATAATTAGGTAAGGCCAACAGCATCAACATCAATCCAGGACTTTGCATAAACTACCCTGAAAAACTGTGTTTCTTTGTTGCTACAGGACTTTCTAAGAATTTTAATTTTTTAACACTTTAGCAGCTTACCTTTAGTAACATACTTTAGCCCTTCAGACCATAATTGAAATCAGCTTATGAGGTTTGTAGTTTCAGAGTTTATGTGACTATAATTAATGCGCAGTATTGCTAGGTACATATTTGCCCTTTAAAACTATCATGCACAAACTCTTCACAACAATGTATAAAATAAATGTGAAATCATGCTTTACCACCTCAGACAGCAACAGCAGCCCACACTTTTATACAATATAGATATCATCTTAGCAGGTTCAGCCAAAAAAAAAGAGCAAATCCCTTTGGATTTACAATCCCACACATGTATATTCTGCTTAAACTACCAGAAAATTTAGTCCATATAGAGTAATCAACCACAGGAATGTCAAACACCCAGGACTTTCAAGTGAGTTTAGAAAAATATTAAAAAAGGTAATTGAGATTAAGAGAACCCAATATGGAGAGCATGGCATTATGCCCTCTAAAGAACGGGCTAGCTGCCAGTGCTTCTGTCCTTACCACTCATTCAAATACCAAATGAGGCTTCCATTAGGTTAATAAAAAAGCACCAATAACTTCTATAATATTGAAGGGAAAACAGTGTCTCCCTGTGTTTTCCTTCCAGACTGGAATAGGCTTAGAATACTACCACATAGCCATAGGAAAGGAAAGTCAATAAACATGTCCCTTGAGCTTAGTTATGTCCATTTTGGAATCTCTTGATCCTTCCAGCATTTCTGCAAATTAATCAGTAAATTTGCAATGCAATTTGCAGTCTAATTTTTTTCAGCATTCCCAGTCACTTCAGCCTTGTGGCTCATAATTACATTAAAAATGTAGAGTGAGAAATCATTTTTCAGAATTTGCTGCACCAAATCAATCTAAAAGAACATCACTTACTAGTTTAAAAACAATCCTGCCAGCAAGTCTGACAGAGTCTGGAGGAAAATTGGGCTCGATGCTCTTAAGACACCTGCATTCCTGCTTGTGGTCCATCCAAGCTTCTTTCTATCAGGATATTTTAAAAAGGAAGAAAAGGAAAATAAAGTGCATTTTATTTTACATAACCTGTATTTTAATATCTTTTATTTATATATATATATATATATATATATAACTATAAATATAGTTATCTATAGTTATATATGCACACAAACAGGCTCAAAACAATGCACACTGATTCTCATACATTGTGGCATGAAGCAGTGACAGTATGTAGCTGCTTCCCAGGACTGGAGAGAAATAGAAAGGATGCTATCTAAATTACACAAAACTCTAGGCACATGTTCACTCAGCAATCAAGCCTGCAGAAGCCTTCAGAGTCCATCCACTGCATTAAATGCAGCTACTCTAATGCAGTGGTCAAGTTTTCAGTGCTGCAAAAACTGTCCCCAAACATCCCCAAGCTGATGAAGTATCAATGCCCACAGCTGGGAGGACTGATAGCAATATTTTTCACCAGTTCAGACCAGGAGTGGTCACTGATACCAAAACAGAAGACAGAACCAAAAATATTTTATTTGCATATATTACCCAAACCTGATATTTTTGTTTCATGGGCCACTTAGGTTTGAATGACAGAGACAGACTAACACTTCCATAGCAGGGAAGATTCAGGATGACAAGATAATGGAAACATTGAAATAAGTTTCTTTTTTTCTCTACCATTCACTGTTGCCACTAGATTAGTGCAGAAGAGCAGCAAGAATGAGTTTTCAGCTAAAGAAACATGTCGCAAGAAAATTTCTGATCACCTCTTTTTCCTGTCTTCAGTCTCTACAAGCAGAAACTTTTGTTTATAATATAAAAAAACTCCAAGTCCATTCATTTACATACTCCATACTTACACATTTTATTTTTATTTTCACAGTTTACGTTTGAAACCACACAGCCGTTTCAAATAGTTTTAAAAGCAAATTAAAAGAACAGGGCACAACAAAAATTTGCTATGACAAGTACTCAGAACCAAGTGCTTCTGAACATGACATTTTCTCACAAATATGCAGTAAGGGAAGAAAACATGAACCCAGTGAGTGCCACAGAGAAAATGATTGTCTAATGTTAAGTACATGTTCAACAACTTTTAAAGAAGAGAAAAGGGCAGAGCTATGTGTAAGGGCACATCAGACCTGGAGATGCTGACATGTGAGTTATAAAGATTCCAAAGGCAATCACACAGTTTTTTATTAATCTGCATTTAAGTGAGGGAATTGTTTCAGATAACTACGTTACAGCACCAGTAGCATTTATTATATTTAATTCAGGATTTTTTCCCCTGTGGCTTACACATAATAAATAAATGGAACTTTTTATTTCTTCCAGATACATGACAGATTTGTGATTTCATTTCTTTTACCCATAACTCTACAAGGGGAAAAAATGACACCAAGAAGGCATTAATGCAAATACAGTTAGTGTCACATGCTGTCCAACAAATTAAAGTTAAGTATTTAGTGCTGCATAGAATTATGCTAGTCTAGAAAAAACAAGGTCATGCTTGTAAATGTCCAGACATCATTCTGTGTAATATAATTATATTGGCATTTTTATCCAACTTAAACTAAAAATGTTCCTAGGAGTAAGCTTTGATCTGTCAAATTCTTTCCTCTACATAAATGTTGCACAGAATTTTAAACATGCTAGAGGTGACATCAAAATGATTAATAACTTACCCAACCAATATAGCTCCAATGAGATGAAATATGCTGTACCACATAGCATTATATGCCATGTTTCCTTGAGAGCATTCCCATGTGAGAAAAATTGTTCAAATATACGCCTTTTGTGAAACAGCACCTTGGCTAAAACTGATGCTAAAAAGGAATCACCCTGATTCCTCTGCAGAAGGAGCTGGAATGGGGATTGCCAGTCACTTGTTCCCAAATGATCAGGGAATTATATATATAAAATGTATTAAATATAATGAAATTCAACAATATTTATTCTTATTATCTATACAACATGGATACAAATTACAGGACAAAATGAAAACAAGGATTTGTGACCCTGGAGATACCTACTTTTAAAATCAGTCTCTAACAATACTTACTGGTTACACTTACATTAGCACATTTCTTAGAGGTGGGAGGGTTTTTTTCATTCTGTGTATCCTGGCCTTCAGTCAAGGTTTTTATATTCTATATCTAGCGTGAGTACAAACACTGCAGTGCAGATACATGTCCACTTGGTATGACCCTTCCCCACATGCCAGGGAAGGTCTTCCAATTTTGCAAAGATTTCTTTTTCCCCTGCTAGAAATGAACACTAATAGAAGGAAGCAAAGAAAGGCAAGTGAACAGTACAGGGCAATATAAAACCCTGCTCCTCAAGGCTTCACTACGCTTAGGAACTTGGAAAGAATATCTTTCTGTTTATCTCCTCCCAAAGCATTGTCTCTCCTTCAACCTCAGCGTATCCCAAGTGCAAATCCTCAGGCTTCACGCAAGTGAAACTGGTCAGCACCCACACGGCTACAGGGATGGTGCAGCACAGAGTTCTTCACTGGTGGCAGATTTACAGTCTGCCTGCTGAACCAGCCCCAGACCAGCTCCAACGCCTCCCTGCACAGCCCAGCCCCAGGATCACCTCCTGCTGGCTCAGGTCACGGGCCAGGCCCCCTCACAAATGCCTTCAATGTCTCAGATATTTTCAGCTGAGCCATTTTGCCAATGCACATCCATTCTTTCACAGACATATGCTATTGCTGTCTCCCCTTGGAGCCTGAATCTACACAAGATCCTAAACCAATGTGGATGAAACAAAGGTTTACCATGTCTTCTATGCAAGATCAAAATAAATAAACACTTCCTGCAGAATGATGTGCTAATAAAAAGCTGTTAAAAGACTAGAGGTGATTAATAAATAAAGTAAAAAAAATCATCACACTATATTTTTCCATTAGAAGGTTTTGATCTGTTAAAAGTAAATAATCTGTAATTTCCAAAGCATTGTTTGAATTTTCACACACCTTTTTAATTATGGTATTCTACCTTTATTACAATATTTCAATAATGTTTGATAATATCACATTCTGAATTCTGAATTCATTCCATTTTTCAGGGATTATCATCTATCTCATTGGTTCCAAATCTATGAGATAAGACCATATTAATAAGCATTGCCAGGGGTGATCACAACAGTGATTATGAGGAGCAGAAGATGTGATAACCCTTCCTTAGGAGAGACACCCAGATGACATAACATTGCTAAGAGGCAGGCAGCCCATGAAATTAGGTATCAACAAGTGGAGAGGGAACAAGTGGCAACAAGGAAATGCCAAATAGGGACAAAAAACAATGAGGTCTGACTGAAAGAAAAAAAAAATTAAAAGCAAAATATCTATATGTACTTGATCCTGAATTCAGAATTCAGTTGCAAAAGGTCACCCTTAAGGATCCCTTGTAATAAGTTCCAGTTCCACATTTCTAATACTTCTTTAAATTAAATTAAAGTGGTAAAAGTGAAAACAGCTGGTTTCAACTGGCTTGAAAAAGAAAAATAATGTGAATTTTTGAAATTTGGAACAACTCACAATCTTTAAAATCAACATTACGGAGATTTGTAAAAACTGTATATTCTGATTTGTATATAGGTTTTCTCCATGGTTATGGTATATGGTTTATGGTATATGGTTTTTCTACCAGCTCTGCATACATATTCCCTTAAAGGACAACTACTCTCACTGTAAGTTACAAAGAAGAGAAACATTTCCAAAGACTATTTCTTCTTCTTAAGATTAGCCTGAAGATAGCTTTTTATACCACTTGACATTTTAAAACAAATGAAGATGTTTACAAGGTATTTGCAGCTTTAAAAATGGTTCTTTTTGGTACACTCTGAAATATAAATCCCCTGTTGCATTTCTATTGAAGTTTCTTTCACAAAATCCACTTCTATTCTAGACCCAGTACATTTACTGACATTAAATTTTTTAAGTCAGATTTTTATATTAATTCTGATTTCATTTAACGTATTAATTTAAAAACTCCAGAAAAATAACAGGTTTTAAGCCTAAGTGTTTTGAGTTCCAGTATCACAGATTCAAAAATAATCAAATCATTCTGCAAGTAAGTGTGAACTGCAAATTCAGCTGCATAATTTGCATTTCAAAGTTATCTGTATTTGTATAACTAAAATAGTTCTGTTCTGCAAATATTCATTTTTTTAAATGTGAAAAGTGCCATTCCATCCCTACTGAATACCCTGCTGTTTATTTGCTGACCAGTTAGTTCAATTAGAAGTGTGCATATTAATGAATTGCACTTAAGCTACAGAGGCTAAGTAGGGCACAAAGCATTTGGTTTAGCTTTACTAGCAGTTGCTGTAAAACCAGAGCAGCACAATCCTTTAGCCAACTTATTAGAACAAATATGAATTAGACGACAGTTCTCAAGAGCAAAGAGATCTGGCTGGTCTCAGTTTTATCTTTATCACCTGCTTCAAGTCATCAATCCAAATAAATTTACTGCTTTGACTACAAAATGACTGGGTTTTTTCTGTTATTCTGTATCATGACATAATATCACAGGACATTACATACATTAGATCAACATTAATTTATTTATATAAATAGTTCAAGAAATTATGTAACTGCAAATACACAGCATGTTGAGTGCAGATTACTTTTAGCAGCAATAGCCTGTCTCACTGAAATCCCTACCTACAACTATGGATGGCTTCAAGCATGCAAACCCCAGAGCTGGAAGCACAAAGCAAAGGTACTCAGGTTGGCTTCAGGCTATCCCTTATGAATCCTTGAAGAATGTTCACACAGTTGTGCTTCTCAAAGAGGAAGCTCCTGTTCCTACCTCCACTGCCTCTACACCTAAGTTGGAACAGGTTATTGCATTACACCTTGTGGATTTGCTTTTGCAGGTCTGTGCCCACAGTTCAGTTCACTTTAGAGACCTGCCAACAGAAGCTTTACCAATGACTCTCCTACAAGATACTTGTTTTATACTTACCTTGCAAATACTCTGGGCTTTTATAGCCCTTATGGACATGTTTTCCTTATGGTCTCCCATAATAAATCTACCTGTGGCATTATTATTGATGCTACAGTAAGCACCTAATGTACGTTGCACACATTTGCCATACAATGAATCAAAATGACAAATCTTCCTCTTTTCCCTCTCCATATGTTTTAATCCCCAAAAGGACAAATTTGTGGTGTCTTGAGAAGACTACAGATTATATTAAAGCAGAATGGTTTCTAGAAGCACGTGATACGTGACAAGATCAGCCCTGAGAAGAAAGATTTGGGGAGAAAGACTTGGGGGTGTTGGTTGAAAAGAAGCTTAACATGACCCAGCCATGTGCAGCTCAGAGAGCCAAATGTGTCCTGAGCTGTGTACAAAGCACTGTGGGCAGCCGGGCAAGGGAGGGGATTCTGCCCCTCTGCTCTGCTCTGGTGAGACCCACCTGGAACACTGCATCCAGCTCGGGGGTCCCCAACATAAGAACATGGAGCAAGTCCAGAGGAGGGCCACAAAGATGACCAGAGAGCTGGACCACCTCTCCTAAGGCGACAGGCTGAGCAGTAGCCTTCCAGTACCTAAAAGGGGGGGTGGGCTATAAAAGAGCTGGAGAAGGACTGTTTACACAGCATGTAGTGATAGGACAAGGGAGAATGGCTTCAAACTGAGAGTACATTTAGCTTAATTAGGAACAACTTCTTTACTGTGAGGGTGGTGAGGCACTAGAACAGGTTGTCCAAAGAAGCTGATGTGAAGCTCCATCCCTGGAAGTGTTCCATGTTAGGTCGAAAGCATGCTTCGAGCAATGCTTTCAGCAACCTGATCTAGTGGAAGGTGTCTGCCCATGGAACTAGATGATCTCTAAGATACCTTCCAACACAAACCATTCTATGATGATTTCATTCCATGATTGTTGGAATGTCAAAGACTTTAAAAGTTATAGAGTATTACTGCTAGTCTACTTTGACTAGTAGTTGCTTTTCTTCATTTTTCTCTATTAAGGAAAAGAAAAAAAAATAAATAACACACACCTTCCCCCAAAAAATAACCACTACCAACCCTCAGTCTCCCACCAAAAAAAAAAAAAATTTACAGTGCAAAACTGTGAGGAACTATTTAAAACTTCAAGTGTTCTATAAGGCAATCCTATACATCTAGTCAAATATAAAAGCTGAGAATTTGGGCCTTTGAGAACTTTTCACTTTTGGGAAATATTTCATAGGATAGAATCACAGGATAGTCAGGCTGAATGGCTCTATGGAGATCTCCAGTTGCAAAGCAGAGTCAGCTCTATGGTGAGATTCAGCTCAGAGCTTTATCCAGTAGGGTCTCCAAACCCTCAAACACAGAGATTACACAAACACCCTGGCCAGCCTGTCCCACCTCTTGGCTGTCAAGAGCTTTTCCTTGTATCCCATATGAACCTCTGGGCTTTCAACTTAAGCCTGTTGTCCCTTGTTCTCCTGCCATGCACCACTTTTCTTCTTGAAAACCTCCTCAGAGATGCAGTTTTCCTTAAGGCTTTGTCTTCTCAACACATTCTTGATCCTTATTTCCTCTTAAAAAACTGTAATATAGAATTTACCATTATAAAAAGTACTCTTCAAATACAAATTGTTTTACTGTAAAATTGGCTTACAGCTACAGACAGTGAAGCTTAAGAGTTATTCCTCCCCCTCTCACTAAGTACAGTCAAACACATTTCAGCTTAGTTTTGTCTTTTGTACTGATCATAATCTTATATTTGTAGCTATAAAAACACTCAAATAAAACAAGGCAGCATGTTTACCCACCCTGTCCAAAATTACAAATAAATTGCAGTGTGGAGGTATGACAACATGCAAAATGTATGGAGACTCTGTAAAAAAAGTATTCAAATGCCTGTTTTCTTAAATGCTTTATAGCTGTTATTTTTCATCTTACCTGACAGGATCTACCACAGTATTTAGCAACCTTGCACTGAGAGCATCTGTGCAGCTTTTTATTCCTGTAAAAACACAAAAACAAACAAACCAGAAAAATGGTTATAAATACAGATGGCATTTTGTATTTATCTTTCTTACCTAATTAGCAATTTCCAAATATTCCAACTCACAAAAAAAATCTTAAAAACAAGAATAGTCTAAAATGCACTGTAATGCAAGAAGAAATTGTACATAGTTATGTTCAAAGCTATAGTCACAACCTTTTACTTGTGTCACTCAGCACCTCTGGGGCCACTTTGGATCAACAGGAAAATTATCAAATGTGCTTTTGTCATGTAGCTGTAACTCTGAGGAGTTTGATTTTGTAGATAACATCATAATTAGAGCTGTGCAGTACAGCTAGCTAATCTATTTACTTACTATCTGAGTCTTGTCTTAAGCAAGCAACCATCACTATCTGTCTTAAACAAGACCTTGCTGTGAACCTGTGGCTGACATCAAATTTTATCTTTATAACACAGCCCAAAGCTGACATGTCAGCAGAAATTTCTATTCTAAGAAAACACGATTAGTGGACAATGAAAACAAAATAAAAATTCATGTGCAAAGTATAAAAATCCAATGAAAACTAGCAGCAGAACTACCAGACCTATACATTACAGTCTAAAGGTTAAAAGCAGCTCCTGACTGTAGTACTGTTTTCTGATACTGTCTCAATTTAGTTATATGACTTAAGAAAACATCACTGAATTCATGTGCATTTTTTGACAGTAAGCATTAAATGTGAAAGCACACACAGAGCAAATATTGTACCTCAAATATATATGTAAAGGTATTTACTTCAGGTATAGAAATGAGACAGATTTTGAGGCTTCCCTTCCATCTTTTTGTGGAAGATACTGAACATGATGCATTACTCTGATAACACTGCAAAGTGTTCAGTTTCATTTCTTAACATGCAAGGCTGCTTATGTGAGTTATGGTCATTCATTATGCTGGGGAAACAGGATATGTTTTTGTTGCTGTTCTTAAAACCACAGGCAGGCAATTTACATTACAGACACAACAATTATCTGGGCTCTGTGGACAGCACAGCCCTTATTACTTCCCCTCAGACTTCCTCCTGGCCACCACTCTGACCTTAGTGAAGAAGTACAGGTACCTCGCTGGGTGCCACTATTCCCTTGTGAGCAGCACAGGGCTGAACACGGCTCACTTACACCCAACAAAATATCACCAGGAGTTATTCCTCAGTACCCCCTTCTCTACAGCAAGGAAAGAGGCATCAGTCATGCCACTGTCCCCTACTAAAGGTAATTTTAGTAATGGTATATTTGTGTTGCTATAGTGTTTTACATTTAGCTGCCTCAAATTTTATTACATAGATTAATTCAGCTTTCCTATTTAATTGGGAAATAACTGTCTAAAACAGCCCTTTTCAAACTGAGGTGGCAAGTTTAAGTGATCAGATGAAGGACTTTACTTTGCAAGATCCTTGGTGTCTTCACATCAGTACCAGATGTGCTCTTTTCGCTTGCACTCCCAACTGATGTGATGAAAAGATGTAATTTGCTGTCTCTGCTGTCACCAAAACTCCTCTGCTGTTGTCAGCCATCTAGAGACTGTATGCCATATATTCAGATTCCCAGACCAACTGCTTTACAACATGACTTTCTTTTACTTACACCACTTGCTCCCAAATCCCAGTTTTTCTGGGGGACTTCAAAAAGGTAGAACACTATCCAAAGGCCAGATGCAAACCAGACAGAACAAACACGCCCGTAACTCCAATCCAGAACTTTTGGATAAACAATGTAGCCTGCTTATTTCACTATGATGCCAAACTGAAGAGTAGGGACATACCAGAAATACCATGGAGAACCCTCTTGCAAAAACCAACTTCACCTTTCCCTCAGATCCCGCACTTGGGAAAGGTATTTTGCTGCTATATTGAAGTTTTACTATGTTTGAATTATTAAAAACAAGAACCGATGCATTATCTTAGGACTCTTATTTAGGGAGTTTAGACAGCTGCATTGGTCAACGATTTTGAAGAGCATTATGAACAGATCATTACCACAAAGTAAAAATCTTTTCATTTGTACTGCAAAAAAAAAAAAAATCCATATTTTGTCACACAATATTTTGTAGATATTCATACTAACTACCAAGAGAAAAGTAATTCAGCATTCTTTATCTTCCTTCCTGAAAAGCCAGACATGAAGACCAAAAAAAACTAGCAACTGTTGGATTTCTACAAACATAATCTAAAATTTTATACATGCACAATAGGTTTTTGATTTTAAGGTGAAATGCCTGAGGATGATTCAGAATTAAAAACAAGTGTGAAATCTCCATTTTGCCAGCTGGGGAGAGCTGCTTATTCTTCAAGGCTGAGCAATGACACAACATTAACCATGTTCTAATAGAGGAAGATATATTTCTCAATTTAGATTAGAAGCTCATGTCAGAGTAACCTAGAACAAAAAGAGACAGCCAAGCAGGTAGAACTTTGGTTTGGTCTCCAGCTCCCCATATGCACAGCCACAGCCGTCCAGACAGTCACTCTGCAGCGTGTCCCTGTTATCTTTTACAAGGTTAACCTGTTTTATCTGGTTGTAGAGTCTCATAGGTAACTAAGGGCCTTCTGGCCTCTCTGTACTTAAACACCTCCTTTGTATTCAATATTCTACAGTCTTGCCAGCAGCCTCTGTGAAACTTCTCTTTATTGTTACACAGTGTTAGCTGAATGTCTAAATGCTCACCCTTCTACGGAATGACTGAGCAAAAACATTTTGATGGCAGACTTTGTTTGTTCTCCATGTTATTCATCAAAACACAATAATGAGTCCAGAGTTTGATAACAGACCATGTGCAATTTTAGTCCCAAACACACTGAAACACCAGTACCATAATCTCAGCAGCAACAGGTAAGATTCAGATTTCCAAAGAAGAGTAATTAAAACTTTCTGGAAGCTGAATTTAAATTAATCAATACCCACAACAATCAGAGAAGTCTCTCCTAATTTTTTCACATTCTTCCTTGGGAATGCTAGATTCAATAACCTAAATACACTGCAAGCGTACTTGGCCTTGGTGTATCTCTTGGCAATTTTCCAAGAGATGCCAAGATTCACTGGAATCATTAGCGTCAAGTCACCAACAAGTATTCCCTCTTTCTTTTGAAACACAACTAGCAGACGTGTTGCCACAAAGCACCAAATTCCCTCAGCAACTTCAGAAGCTTCAATACTTTACAGGGGTACTTCCTTTGTACCCTTTGTCCCAAGGGTTAACGATGCTGCAGTAACAAACACATACAAAAAAATCTACAGATCATCTCTCAAAACTGGAATTTTTGTCAAACTGACACTTTCAGTCAGATTATTTGAATAAGGTGTCTCCCTTCTAGCGCCATTTAATGAATGAATTATCCCTTCATCTTTGAGGTTTCTTTGAATGACAAGTAGATGTAGAATGCCTGTGAGAGAGCTGAACAGTAAAGCTGCTAATGAAATCACTGCTTTCTCTTCCAATCCTTCTTCCCCCTCCTGGACTAAAAAAAAAAATTCCTCTGTACTTATAACATCTCTGGATCGTGCTACACAGCATACTAAGTGTAAAATAGCAAAACCTAAAGCACTAACTCTTAAATCCTTTACAGTCAGATTCATGCATTCATATATAGAGGACTTGTGCTTTTCAGAACATTTTAAGAAGTAAGGCAATTTCCCTGGTTCATTTCTGTTCTTCTCATTATTTTATTGATGTAATAGGCTTTATTAAAGGAATTTTAAAGTCACTGTCAGATACTCCCATGTACTTCTTATTACCTGTAAACATCACCTGAAGATAGTATCAGGTCCCTGACAAGGTACCTACTGCATCTCACCTAATGTGACTAACTTCACAGATGAGAAAATGCACAAAATTTGATCTAATGGATTCAGTTATATTTTAATCTCTTAAAAGGTTTCTGCTGCAACAGAAAAGATCCAGTAATTAAAATTAAATTATTAATTTTCCAACAAGTATAAACAAGGTTTTGCAAATGACCACAACCCTTTATGAAACAGCAAGCACAAGTGAGCATCTTAACCTGTACTAAAACAAACAGCCAATACCAAAAACAGCAACAAAAAACAAAACCCGCATAGGTAAAGTAAGCAGGGGTTGCCAGCTGACCTCTAGCATAGTATTATGGTCAGGTTAAGAATCTTTCCTCTAAGAAATTTGTTTATTGCTAAACCTTGTCATCATTATGGTCTACAAACATCATTCATAGAATTAGCTCTTCCAATGTGTACTGAGAAGGCAAAAAACCAACCCCAAATGTAGAGGTGGGTAGAAGAATTTCCAAGAGATTGAAATAGACAGGAAACAAAAGAAAACTTATGAGACAGGGAAAAACAACTAAGCTCAACTGGAATTGCCCCAGTCGGCACACCCTGCCGAAGAAAAGAATTTTTTTTTCCTTTTTTTTTTTTTAATATATTTAAAATCTCAAGAAGAAGGTGAAGAGGTTAGCAAGGGTTTGCCTGGACTGTCAGGTCCTATCAGAGCCACACCTGCACTCTCATAACTTAAAAAATACATGCACTTTTAAAAATATCATATAACACTTCTGCTTGACAGGAAATGGCCTAATAAAATTTGAAATTCCACAACAAAAGTCAACCAAATACAATTAGACTACTTAATTTATAATGGAAGTGCATCTACACTTCTCTGCTGATTGCAGGCACTTGACTTTCAGCCCTACTCACAAGATAAGTGTCAGATATAACAGAATTGATTACCAGACTGCGTTCAACATGCCTTTCTATGTAGTTTATTCACACTTCTGCTTCTGCCACGTCTTGCAGAAAAACAGGACTATCTCGCACAAATCTCCTTCATTTTTGTTGCTGATACCATTTTTCATTTAATAATCCTGCCCTGTATACATGAATGAAAAGAACAGCTCTTTCCAACACGTGTCAAGTTGAACTAATTTCCTGAACAAATTCTTAGACCTTTGTAATTCAGTCAAGCCTGTCAAGTGCATAGAGCCTACTTG